CTCTTTAAACTAGCACATCTAACTGTAATCATGAACCATCTTTCTCCTTTTTTATCGGTAACATATTTTCCTGTTAATTGTGTATGTTCAGTTTTAAAGAACGGCATCCAACTTTTTTTATATAGCTCAGTGAGGAATAATTCTGCATCCTGGGCAATTTCTGTGACATGTTTATGCCTTGCTGGTTACTGTAAAAATGCAAGACATATTATGTACTGCTGAAAATCCGGCCGGCACTTTGCAGTTTTTAACATTGCGTCTTATCGTATAGTAAAAATAAATGTTCCATATAGCAGCTTTACTACTCTTATTAGGTGGTCTAATGGCTTGATGATCAGGAGCACTACAAGCAGGATGTTAAAGGGAAAATACCACTTCTCAGCACAGGCCAGTCCCAGCACAAAGAAGCACCTACAGATTCTTCAGAGCAGCCAAAATGTACAAAGCTGGACTAGGAGCTGAATAAAGGCTTAATGAGTCAGTTCTTCACAGAGAGGGTCTAAGAAGTGGGTAGGGGTGGCAGAAGCTTCCTAACAGCAGAGGGACCACCAGCATGCCTCCCCTCCCCCACAAGACCACCCCTTCCTGCCAAACACCAAAGTGGATTTCAAATAATTTTTTCATTGAAAATGAAATAAGCGCTACATGTGCCCTGATTCTTTAACATCTGCTTAACTCTGAATTGCCCCAGTCACTTGCCAGACATGTCTGGAAGAATGGGGGAGAGATTGTGCCAACGCTGATTGTTGGTTGGGCCTTTTTGGATGACATCACTGTTTTGAACCAACTCCTGACTATGCCCAGCAGATAAATATACACCCAGTCCCTTTCCTGTCATGTTCAGTAGGTGAGGAAGATGTGTGGTGAGAATGTGGAACAAAGGTAAGGCACCTGCTCAGGATAGCTCGATTTTAGTAAGGCTTTTGACACAGTCCCCTGACACACTCGCATAAGCAAACTAGGGAAATACGGCCTCGATGAATGTGCTTTTGGGAGCAAAACTAGTTGAAAGACCAGGCTCAGAAAATAAATATCAATAGTTTGCTGTGAGACTATGGTGATATAGCTAGGAGGTCTGGTAATAGTCAATGTTTTCATTAATGGCTTAGATAGAGTGAAGAGTGTGCTTATAAAATGTGCAGATGATCCCATTAGGGAGGGGTTGTAAGCACTTTGGAGGACATGATTAGACTTTAAATGGCCTCAATGAATTGGAGAATTGGTCTGAAATCAACAAGATAAAATTCAGTAGAGTACTACCCTTAGGAAAGAAAAATCAGATACACAACTTCAAAATGGGAAATAACTGCTAGACAGAACTGCTGTAAAGGAGGCAGAGTTGTAGTGGATCAAACTGAATAGGAGCCAACATTGTGATGCAGCTGCACAAAAGGTTAATATAATTATGCGGTTATCATCCTGTATGAACAGGAATGTGATATACAAGATATTGGAGGTTCACTGTTCCATTCTAATCAGCATTTGTGAAGCCTTAGCTGGGGCATAGCCTAAGTTTTGTCAGCACACAACAAGATAAGGACAAATTAGAAACAGTTCAGAGAACAATACAAATGATAAAAATTTTAGAAAAACTGACTATTAGGAAAGGCACAAAAACTAGACCTGTATTCTTGAGCAAACAAGACATGAGCAGAGATCTGACACAGGTCTTCCAATATATTAAAGGCAGATGTTAAAAGCACAGTTAATAATTGTTCTCCATGGCTACTTCCACTGCTTACCACCTCTGAGAAGACATTTAGAGGTAAATTGGAGCTAAATAACAGCACAGAACTCTGAGAGCCAGAACCAGTGCCTGCAGACAAACTTTATGGGACTGTGGGAAAGTTGGCCACATCCATGATAAATGAGCATCCAGCTAACTAAAATCATACCGGACCATGGATGCTGCCACACCGAAGAGTTCCAGACTACAGAGGTTCCATCTGTAGCTATGAACACAAAGCAGAAGAAGAAAGAAAGGGGAAAGGTAATCCTGCTGACTGCAGAAACTGGGAGCAAAGCTATAACAGACACAGTGTCTACGTCTACACTGGCAGCTTCTTGTGCAAAAACTCTTCCACAAGAGCACATCCACACTGCCATGTGCTTTTGCACAAGAGATGTGCTTTTGCGCAAAGGGCATCCATGGCAATGTGGATGCTCTCTTGTGCAAGAAATCTCTGATGGCCATTTTAACCATAGGGGCTTCTTGCACAAGAAATTCATGTTGCCTGTCTACACTGCCCTCTTGTGGAAGAGCTCATGCGCAAGAGGGCTTATTCCTCGTGGGGAGAGGAAGAGCTCTTCCAGAAGAAGCCCTGTTTTACAGCACCATACTGTAAATTTACTTGCACCAAGAACACTCGTGCAGTGTAGGCAGCAGGCAAGTTTTTGCGGAAGAACGACTGTTCTTGCGCAAGAAGCTGCCAGTGTAGACTTAGCCAGTAGGTATAGCAAGGAAGTCCTTCTCTAAAGCCTGATGAAAAATACAGGCTAGTCACATAGCACCTAAAAGCAGAGGAAATATCTCATAACTAGAGACTCATCAAATTCACAAGCAGCACAGCTCCTAGCAGCCATACCCAAGCTGATTTTCACATAAAACAAGCTCAAAGGTAACCACTCAGACTATGCTCCCTTCCCTTGCTCTTCTCAGAAAAAAGAAGACACTCTTCCACAGCAGAAAGCAACTGCCATAGCACAGCACTCCCTGCCACAATCATGCTCAGAAAAAACCCCCACCACTACAGCTTTCCACTGTGGTTAAAAAGGCTAGGCTTTCATAACCGCCCTTCTCCACTCACTCACTTGAGAAATAACCCCTGAAAGCACAGCCTTAATCAGCACATGCTCTGTCAGTCACAAGCCATGCTAGAGCATTTTCTTCTAACTGGGGGTTGCTACAATTTAGCCTTCAGAAGCCAGAGAACACTAGAAGCCCCACATTGAGCAGAACCTGGCTCTCAGCTCTGGGTCCCTTCCATAGGCTGCTTATCAAATCAAAGCTGCTCTAAGTAGACATCCCTTTTTATTTGCATAAACTGAAGACACAGACAGGCCACTCCACCAATCTTCTGTCTCTCCCAGCTGTACTGTGTATAAGACAACAAGCATCAATCTGGCCCAGCTAAGAGCTCTCTAGAAACCTGACCCAATACAGCTTTAGACACCCAAAGCATGCATCAGAAACCAAAACCCAGGCAGCACTTTCCCAAAGAGCCCATTTACTTACAGCCTCCTCCTGTGTGCTGGTTTTTGTGTAGTCCTCCTCAGCCACAGGTGCAGCCAGAGTCTCTCCCCTGACTAATTAGCAGCCTACTAGATCCAAGCACTGCAGACTTTCAGTCCCAGGCTGTAGCCACAACACAACAGCTCCTGGGCTGGATATAAGGCTCTTCCAGAGCAGTCTGGCTCCTTTCCCCCAAAATGGAGAGCCCCAGACAGCTGAGACCCTCTCTCAACATACCCAGACAAACCCTCTTTTCCTGGTTTCCTCAAGGGCTCATGGGAGTTGTAGTCTCTAGGGCTAGATTGCAGCACACAGGATCCTCCCAGAAAAAGTCAGAGGCACCTTTAATAAGGGGACTACATCAAGAAAAATTATGATATACTTCTACAGTAAGAAACAACTGCCATAGCACAGCACTCTTTGCCAAAGCCATGCTTAGAAGGAATCACTACTGACATTTTCAAGGGGCTGCCCTGGGTATTTTGGCCTGACTTCCTGAATCCTTCCCCCAGATTTCCCTAGTTACTCCCCAACCCCCTTTTTTTTTTTTTTGCTTGACAAATTTTTGTCTGGTTTTTTTTAACCATTTGGCAATCCTACAGGTGAGCCAGACAGTCACCCAGGGCTGCCAATTGGTTAGGACCAGCCCTGACTACAGCTCCTTATTGTGGTTAGCAAGACCAGTCTTTCACAACCACCCTTCTCCAATCACTCACTAGAGAAATGACCTCTGAAAGCACAGCCTTAACCTGCATACCCACCCTGCCAGTCATAGGCAATTCTGGTGCCTTTTCTCTAACTGGTGGTTGCCACAATTTGGCCTTTACAAGACAGAGAGGACTAGGAGAAGCCTCATGTGAGCAAAATCTGGCTCTCACCTTTCTCTTCCTCAGCCTCTACCATATGTTGACTAGCAAAACAAAGCTGCTCGAAGTTGCCATCTTCTTTCATTTGCATAAACTGGAGACACAGACAAGCCACTCCACCAATCTTATCCTTCCCCCTGCTCTACAGGGTCTAAAACAACAATCCTCCAAGGGTGCATCTACACTGCACCACAGCTCGAAATAAGATACAGGCAGTCCCCGGGTTATGTACAAGATAGGGACTATAGGTTTGTTCTTAAGTTGAATCTGTATGTAAGTCGGAACTGGCGTCCAGATTCAGCTGCTGCTCAAACTGACCGCCAGTTCTGACTTACATACAGAATCAACTTAAGAACCCCAAGCGT